TACGTTCGTGAACGTTCGATTATGTTCGTTTATGTTCATTCATTTATGTTTAACCCAATCTTCTTAAATCAATTTTGGTGACCAATTTGTAAGTATCTTAAAAATATTAATTAATCTGATATTCTGATGACCAACTCCATAATTAACCCAGTTTTATTTGGAAAACCCAACAATATTAACATGGTTTAGTTCTTTTTGAACGATCCATAAGCTGCATACCCAGCACCGTCAACATCCACTGCGCCGGAACCCTATGTGACTACGCCACCAGCTGGTTATCCGATGAGCAAAGAGGAGTCCCAGAAACCGGTTGCTTTGGAAACCAAGTCTAAAGGTGATGTATTCTGGAAGGGATGTTAAGTATTAAGCATCGTTTCTTCTACTCAAATAATCTTCTTTTCTTTCATATATAATGGAGTATTTGAATTTGCAAGTAAATAGTGATCAACCAGCAACTCAAGTCAGCTTACTTTGAACTCAATAACCCAATAATCGAGCTCTTAATTTTTTTTTTGAGTTCGAGCCTTTTCGAGTTCGAGTCGAGTTTCAATATTATATTTCGAGTTCGAGTCGAGCTTAATAATTTCAAGCTCACGAGTTTTCGAGTCGAGTCAAGCTGACTTTGAAAGTTTTCGAGTTCGAGTTGAGCTCAACAATACTCGAGCTCGACTCGGCTCGTTTACACCCCTAGGTAGGGTCTCCAACGTTTATGTTCGTTTATGTTTGTGTTCTTTTATGTTCGTGTTCGTTTATGTTCATTTATTTATTAAATGAACGAACATGAACAAGTTATATTCCTTAATAAACGAATATGAACAAAAAACATTTTGTTCATTTATGTTTGTGTTCGTTTATTTATTAAATGAACGACATGAACATACCTCCGTTCATGTGCGTTCGGTTCGTTTACTGTACTACCAAATTTCATTTGATTTTTTTTATCCAAATCGAGTTTATGAAAGTTGATTTGAGTTGTTTAAACTTCTGTTTAAATTTAATTATAAATATGTATAATTTTATAATATTAATTGATTCTAATTTAAATAATTTTTTATAACTAGATATGATATACATATATTTTTCCATATTTTTTTTATATATGATATATATATATATTATACAAAATTTAAAAAACTAGGTTTGAACTCAAAAAATAACCTACTAATTACTACTATTCCGATAACAAACAACTGTTTAAATTCCACCTCATGTTGTTCAACACTTACATTTAGATGTGATTATCCCCTGCAAGTTACAAATAAAGGAAAAGGAAATATGGGTATAGAAATATAAAAAAGCAGCACCGGCGGATCTATAGCTTATTCAAGATGAGTATGCATCTTTTTTTTTTAAATCTAATTTTTTTCGATTAATTAATTATTTTAATAAAATTGTTCACCATAAATTTTAATTTGTATCTATATCAATTAAAAATTTTATATTATTAATATATATGTATATATCCTCAAAAATAGTTTTAAATCCGTCATTGTCTTTGGTTTGAGGATAAGAATACATTGTAGCTCTTTGTCCTCACCCATGAAATGTGTGACCTACATTCTTGGATACCCATTTGCTTGTACAAAAACTTCAACAGTTCTTTCATATAATATTCAAAATCTAATTGTTGCCTCTGCACTCTCAGTTAATCCTTGCCCACACCACCGAAATATTCCCACAATATATGTTTGGTTGCTTTTGGTCTTCAATTGTTTGTCTTCAATTTAGATGCAAGTCAATGGAAAAATAAATAAATGAAGGTAGAGACGGAGGACATGATATTTGTCCAAGGATTGCAGACCTTTCAACATTATTATTATTATTATTAGCATCATCATTTAGAGTAAATTACACATTTAGTACCTAATTATTATTTTTGTTATATTTTGGGCATCCAACAAATTTTATTTCAAAATCATAACTAACGTTTAGTACTGGTTTCATTTTGATTACATACCGTTAAAAAATTAATAAAACTGTTGATACAATATTTTTAATTTTTTTAATGATAATGGGATATTATTTTATGGTAACACCTCAGTATCACATATAATTTTTTAATGGCGGGAGATCAAAATGGAACTGAAATTAAACTTTAGATATGATTTTAAAACAAAAAAAAATTAAATGACTTCAACAGAATAAAAATAATAATTGAGATACTAAATATATAATTTATCCTATTATTCTGTAATGGATACATTTTGGATTTTTTTTTTGGGAACAGATAAATAGGTGCATGTGAAATTAAAGACTTCGTGTATATGTTTTGAACATGCATTTTATGGCATATAAGATTTTTTACTTAGCGTGGTACCGTGTTAGTGATACCTTTGTTATACTCCTACTAAACAAGCAATAAAATAAGTATATATAAAATTTTAATTTAGTTTTGATTAATTATCATTATAGTTACTATTTGTCTATAAGATAAGAGGATAATTTTTCTCTCCCGTTCGTCAATAAAAAAAAGTTTTTCTTCAAAAAACTATTTTTTCTCATATTAATAAAAAATAAATTGAAATTAAGATAAAAAAATACTAAAAAATTATCTCTTAATTTTCAAATGTATCAAATAACGAAGGAAAATAAAATTATATTTTTCTTCAAAATTTCCATCATGCCTATCAAATTATCAATAAAAATATTTTTTTTGTTTTTATATCATTTAATTTTTCATCCTTCACATGCAAAAATGCCAAAATAAGGCAGCATGGGAAAAAAATCTTCCCACAATAAATATGGTTCCAACATTATTTCCTCATTTAAGGTATTTTCTACAGTACACGCATAAAGACTCAAAGATATCTCGGCGTCTTCAGGTTAAAATTTTATTCTATCAGATTATTCGGCGTCTTTAGTTAAATTCTTTCTATTACTGTGCTTTTTTGGCGATTTTCCCAAAAAATCACATTTTTCTTAAATATTTACGTGTCAGACACCCTTTGAGATAATATTCCCGATCTAACACCCTTTAATTCATATATTATTTATTTAATTGTTTCAGGTTTTTTTTGCAGATATAATACTGTATCCCTTTCAAACTCTAAGAATGACGAGAATTTCAACTATTGTTTATTATGATGGAGAAATTCGGGAAGATGAAACCGGCGTTGTTTTCGTATCAAATCATTATATTAAAATATCATTCAAGAGAAACATAAGTCTTGAGGAGATGATAATGAAGATTTCAAGGAAGATTTATGTTGGAAGTACTAGAAGAATGTCGTCGCTTCAGTACAGATTTCCAACATCATTGTTTCTGTTAACTTATACAGATTTTCATCCAAACGAAGCAGACCGTCTTCCATTTTATAATTGCAAAAAAATAAAATAATTAAAAAAAATACTAAAAAAAATAAATAATACAATAATTAAATAAAATACTAACAAAATATTAAATATAATAAAATACATATTATAAATAAAATTTGAACGATGTTTAGTTTTTGAGAGGATTTGAGAGAATTTGAGAGGATTTGGTGTGGTGAAAATAGTTGAGAGGGGGTATTTATAGGGTGGGATGGAGGGTGTGAACAATCAGTTGGGTTGGTTGGGTCGCGCCTTCAGTATTTATTCTGTCCCAACGTGGGCCACGCCTTACCACATGTGGCGTCATATCAACGTCATATACCGTGCCTTTCTGCAAAAGATGTTAGATTGAGAATATTATCTCAAAGGGTGTCTGACACGTAAATATTTAAGGAAAATGTGATTTTTCGAGAAAATCGCCAAATAATGCACAGTAATAAGAGGAATAATTTAACTAAAGACGCCAAGTAATTTCATGGAATAAAATTTTAGCCGTCAAAATATCTTAGAATCTTTAGACGTGTACTGTAAAAAATACATTAGATGAAAGATTAATGTTAGAAACCACATTATTGTGGGGGGAAATTTCCCATACTGCCATACTGACTTATTCTGGCATTTTTGCCTTCCTTCACGTGTGATCGTGTTTGGCTTCCATCATTTTCATTTGAGGATTATTATTATTATCTATTATTGAATAGGTGTCTTCATTCTTAAGAGGGTGAAACTCCGTCAATGGTAATTCAACATATCATTTAACAGACGATTTGTGATAGATTCTCTCGTCCTTTTTACTCTCAATGAATGATTTTAAAAAATTATTTAAAATAATTGAAATTTAATATTTTTTCTTAAAATAATCCAAGAGAGAAAATGGGTAAATTTTTTTTAGATAATATGGTGGGAAAATAAATTATTTAAGACAGATTGTTGAAAAAATTATTTATTTAAATGGAGTGAATGTTATATATCAACTTGAAAGATGTCGAAAGTACAATATATCTTCAACAAGACGTGGAGATCACAATATATCTTTAATTTTATCGGAGAATACACTTTCACGAGACATATATAGTTATGTTGGGTGCACGGATAAAATACACTTTAATTCATACATATTTTAGGTGATATTGTAATAATCATTTTACTTTAACAAATAATTCGCATAGTATTATTTGGGAATTTTTATTCCCACGACATCATTCAAACATTTTTGCCGAGAAAATCTTTGAAAAAACTGTTGATAACTGCAAGCCGGTGGTGGTGGAGCCAACAAACCACGCCTTCCTTAAACTGCTCAATTTTCAAGAGCCATTAAACATTCGACTTTGGATTGATACAAAGCAAATAGCAATCCCTGTCCCACTCTTCTTCCCTTTTCGTTCTCATATAATCTAAAGAGCAAAGGCCAAACCCGACGCCATGGCCTCATCCATTTCTGTTTTGTCCTCATTCGGTTTACCATCAAATTGTGCGTTCACGTTTTGCGATGCATGTGAAGTTCACTGACAAATACACCCAAATCACTGTCGGCGCTACTCACATTATAAGCAAAGCCTTCAACTCTCCCTCGTGACTCCTCAGTGTATATATATATATATATATATATATATATATATATATATATATATATATATCGCCATCAAGAGGCAAATCCCAGACTCCAAATCCAAAAATCTCAAAACGCCATGAAACTCCATTTTCTACTCTTCATTCCCATTATTTTTTTACCTTTGGTTCATTCTACCCACCACGATTACTCCGACGCATTATCGAAATCGATTCTGTTTTTCGAGGGGCAGCGTTCGGGCGTTTTACCAAGAGACCAACGTATGCAATGGAGGGCCGATTCAGGGTTGAGCGATGGCCGTTCGATATACGACACGGACTTAACCGGCGGATATTACGACGCCGGCGATAACGTCAAGTTCGGTTTTCCCATGGCTTTCACGACCACGATGTTAGCTTGGAGCGTGATTGAGTTCGGGGAATTAATGCCGCCCAATGAACTGAGAAATGCACTTGTGGCGATCCGTTGGGCTACTGATTATTTGCTTAAAACTATCTCGCAGCCTAACCGGATTTTCGTTCAGGTATTTAATAAACTCCGTTTTTTTTACTTTCATTTGTACCGTTCAATGCTCTGCCATTAGCAGCAATAAACGTGACTAGTGGTTGGTTGTCGTTTACAAAACAAAACTTTCCCGGAAAATCTTACTTTTTTTTTCATTCTAGGGTGGCGCATTTGAGAATCGCCACTGTCTCTTGAAATCTTATATTGCTAGAAATATGATTTTGTAGAAGAGAAAAACAACCAAAGTGAAATAATCATTTTCTCTGTGTTCGTAACTTAGGTTGGGGATCCATATATGGACCATAACTGTTGGGAAAGACCCGAAGATATGGACACTGCGAGGACTGTTTACGCCGTGGATGCACCGAGTCCGGCTTCCGAAGTGGCGGCAGAGACGGCGGCCGCTCTGGCAGCTTCGTCAATGGCGTTCAGATCAGTGGACCCATGGTATGCCGAGACGTTGTTACGGAGTTCTGATCGGATTTTTCAATTTGCTGACAACTTTAGAGGTGCTTACAGTGACAATGCTCATATCCGAGACGGTGTCTGCCCATTTTACTGCGATTTCAGCGGCTATCAAGTATGTAAAAAAAGTTGAAATAGAAATCGATCAGAATTTAAGCTCTAATTATGATTAGCAAAAGACTAAATCATAATTAAAATGATTAAAAAAGACCCCTTGAAATTAACCTGACTGGGGCTCTTCTCTTTAAACAGGATGAATTGCTTTGGGGAGCAGCATGGTTAAGGAGAGCCTCGCAAGACAACTCTTTCCTTAATTACATCGAAAAAAATGGCAAAACCCTTGGTGCCGATGACAACATTAATGAATTTGGATGGGACAACAAGCATGCTGGTCTAAACGTCCTTGTCTCCAAGGTCAAGCCTCGTTTTAAATTGTAGTATTTATTCATATTTTTTCTTAACTTATTGATAATATACATACATCTTGGATTTGTAATTTTTTGAATTTAGATATCTGATATCACTCAATGTGTTTAATATTATCTACCTTAATGCTCACATGAAGCATTTTCTTTGGGACGTTGACATTGGTGTCTCTTTGTTTTTCAGGAAGTCATAGAAGGAAATATGTACAATCTACAATCATACAAAGCCTCGGCCGATAGCTTCATGTGTTCATTAATCCCCGATTCATCTTCATCCCATATCGACTACACCCCGGGTGGCCTCATCTATAAGCCCGGAGGCAGCAACTTACAACACACAACGACCATTTCGTTCCTCCTCCTTGTTTACGCCAATTACCTCGAACGTACTTCGCAAACGGTTAATTGTGGAAACCTCATTGTCTCGCCATTATCTCTTCGGACCATAGCCAAGAAGCAAGTCGATTACATTTTAGGTGATAATCCAATGGGACTATCATACATGGTTGGGTATGGCAATCAGTTTCCGCAACGGATTCATCATCGTGGCTCGTCGTTACCGTCGTTGAAAGATCATCCCGAGTTCATAGCTTGCAAGGAAGGTTCCGATTATTTCAATTCAACTAACCCTAACCCAAATGTTTTTGTTGGTGCCATTGTTGGAGGGCCGGGTGAAGATGATGTGTATGGGGATGACAGAGCTGATTTTAAGAAGTCGGAGCCGACTACTTACATTAATGCACCATTTGTTGGCGTATTAGCCTTTTTTGCGGCTAATCCCAATCTTAGCTAACGTGAAACCCAAGCCACCTTTTGTACATAGTTAATGTTCTTTTCTCCCTTTCTCTTTGGGAATTTTGATGAAGAAGACTCATCTCGAGTGAAGCAAAAGAGGGTAGAGACCCCTTAGTTCATGATTTTTTAAATCAAAAGAACTGATAATTGTACCTTTTTCTAGAAAGAAATTGTAACTGAGGTGTGTGCTTTATGATTTTAGTTATTATACGCTATTAGCTACTATCTATAACTTCATTTTGAATTAACGGTATCACACATCCTCAAATTATTATGTTCAACAAAATTGAGTAGTTTAAGAATGGATTAACTTAATTGAAGATCAAAGTTCAGTGTTATAATTGATAAAATATGAAGTTCAAAACAAATCAACACTTAAAGTTATAATTTAGAAGACCGAGAAACAATTTAAAATGAGAAACATAATTTAGAGATGAAATCGAAATATTTAAAATTTTTAAAACTAGTTTAAAATAAAAGTTATAATTTGAGGATGAATAGTACAACTAACTCTATATTCTTTTTAGTATAAGAATGTTATAATTAGTTCAACGTTTAATATTTATATGCCTTTTCCCCATGATTAAACTGCGAATTTATTTATAAGAAAAATCTTTGACGGCCTAATTAATATATGGTAGTAGAAGAACATATAAAAAGATGAAAGGGATAAGTGAAAGGCTGCCTCAAAAGCCACCTTTGACCTACCCTGTTTAAATGCTTTCACGGTCATCTACGCCGGCATGAACCGCACAGTAGATGTGTAGTCTACGCCAGATTCTTGCCTTCCTAATTATTATCTCACCTTTTCCTTATTGTTAGTTTAGACTTTAGACAATTGATTATGGACCCATGACCTGCCACACTGAATCTTGCTTTAGTCATGCTTTGTGCTAAAGTCCCTAAATTATCTTTGTTTCCCTATGATTCAATCTATCTCAACCAATATCAATATGTATTTATATGTGACCATTGATATAAGATTGGGATTACTAAATGAGTTAAACAGCTTGCGAGTTGATCGAATTTAATTCGGTCAAAATTCAATTAATGCTCAACTCATGTTAATTTGACTTGAACTCGACTCGAGATCTTAACAAATTAAATTAAGTAAGATCCAACTCGACTTGATACGTTCATAAAAAAATCTTTAATTTTTTTTTGTATATTTTTAATAGTTGCCTTAAAAAAATATTTTATTAAAAAATTAATTAATAATTACTAATTTACTAATAGATAATAAGGAAAATGATAAATTACTAATTAATAATTACTAATACTTTATTAATTTTATATTAAACGACAAGAAATGTACTAAATTATTAATTTATTAGATTTTAACGTAGTTAAAAAAAATAAGGTTAAATTTTGGTGAGTTTAACAAGCAACGAGTATAGAAACAAGTAACAATTTAATGAGCACGATTCGAACAAAATTTTATTGAGCTCAATGAGCAACAAATTGAGTCAAACAACATTTTTTAATAAATACAAGTCTAGCACATATTAAACTTGTGATCGACTCACTCAATAATCAGCCCTATATAAAATGATAATATTTTAAATAATTTTTCTAAATAATGTGTATACAATTGAATCTCGTATAAACCTCATGCATCCGCCCATAATGGTGGTGATGGTGTCGCTTTTGATGACGCTTGCAATGACTTTAGTGGTGATTAGGGATGTATGAGACCCGAATCCGACGACTTCTGACCCGAACTCGATCTGATCGGGCCAGTTTTTTTTTAAAATTGGGTTTGGAATGGGTCATGTTTTTTAAAGGTGATGTTCGGGTCGAACCATATTCGAATTTATGGTGAAAAATACCCGACCCGACTCGACCCGGAAAAATATAATTTTACCTTATATATTTAGGAAAATTATAAAAATACCAATCTATATATTATTTTTTCAATTAAATCATTATTTTTATTGAATAAAAATAATATTTTTATTGAATAAAAATAATATTTTTATTATTTCGAGTCAAGTCGGATTTAGATTTTATCTCAAAAATAAAGTCGGGGTTTGAAATTTGCTAATAGAAAATAAGGAATATAATAAATTACTAATTAATTATTACTAATAATTTATTAATTTTATATTAAACGACAAGAAATGTATTAAATTATTAATTTATTAGATTTTAACGTAGTTAAAAAAATAAGGTTAAATTTTGGTGAGTTTAACAAATAACGAGTATAGAAACAAGTAACAATTTAATGAGCACGAGTTGAACAAAATTTTATTGAGCTTAATGAGCAACAAATTGAGTCAAACAACATTTTTTTTAATAAATACAAGTCGAGCACATATTAAACTTGTGATCGACTCACTCAATAATCACCCCTATATAAAATGATAATATTTTAAATAATTTTTCTAAATAATGTGTGTACAATTGAATCTCATATAAACCTCATGCATCCGCCCAAAATGGTGGTGATGGTGTCGTTTTTTATGACGCTTGCAATGACTTTAGTGGTTATTAGGGATGTATGAGACCCAACCCGACGGCTTACAACCTGAACTCAATCTGATCGGGTCAGTTTTTTTTTAAAATTGAGTTTGGAACGGGTCGGATCGGATTTTTTATAGGTGATGTTTGGGTCGAATCAGTTTCGAATTTAGGGTGAAAAATACCCGACCCGACTCGACCCGGAAAAATATAATTTTACCTTATATATTTAGGAAAATTATAAAAATACCCCTCTATATATTATTTTTTTCAATTAAATCACTATTTTTATTGAATAACAATAATATTTTTATTATTTCAGGTCAAGTCGGATTTGGATTTTATCTCAAAAATAGGGTCGGGATCGGGTCAGGTGGAGAATATATATTTTTTGAGTCAGATCAAGTAGGATAAATGATGTAAAATTTTCGATTTGGGTAGGGTTTCAACAACCCGACCCATGCCCATTCCTAGTATTGATGGTGATGAAAGAGAAGGTGGTGATAGGCACTCAACTATCACAAGCGGAAGTGATGCATAGAGAACGAGAATAAAAGTATCACATTTAAATTGACATAATTACACAAGATGTTTCCAAATTAAGATTTCTAATTTAATTAATTTTTAAAATTTTAAATATGTTACATTAATCTCTTCATTATAATTCTATTGATAATTAGTTGTAAATTTTAAAACATTCATTATCAACTTTCAAATTACTAATATCATTTCATTACGATTATTGTGTTAATTTTTTTTTGTAAATTCTATTAATTTTTAAAAGTCTTGAGAATTGAATTTGTGACATTTAAAAAATAATATATTTTTTAAAGTCTTATGAATTGAATCTATCTCCTAAAACAATTAATAATTTTTTTAAGGTCATAAATTTTTTTAACAGATTCGATTTCTAAGGCTTTCAAAGATATATTAGTATCTTTAGCCAATTGAATTAACTACACATTATCGAAAGGATAAAATTGGAATGATAATAGTTAAGTCTTTCAAGAATGGTTTCAAAACTTTGGACGCAGATTTTGAAATAATATGACTATCAAATAAACAAATTAAGATACAGCCAACAGAATCCGTTGTAGTCTAGGTGGTTAGGATACTCGGCTCTCACCCGAGAGACCCGGATTCCAGTCCCGGGAACGGAATAAAAAACATTGTTTATTATTATTTCTATCAAAAGCATTTCCCTTGTTCTAGAATGAATACCCAGATCCCTTGTAACACGATTGCACTTTGCTATAACTTCCACACACAAGCAGTTTTGATGAATTTTAACCATATATGCTTTGGCACCATAATCTCATGGACCACATGACTTGGCATTCTGTCCACCGTCCGATACGGGTTCCAAACTCACAGTTCCATCAATAACTCAAACCATATCCATTCTGAACAAAAATAAGAACCCCGTGTTTAGTTGCTTAATTTCAAAAGGAGTCTGTGAAACAACATGATAAACATGAAGCATTTTTGTCTACACTGTTTTACAAGGTGAGTATAAAACAATCCATATCCACCACGAATGCCAACCCTGCTGCGTGTACAAAATTATCATCCACGTGGCATGAAGACATTGGTCAACACTGTACAACCTCAAATGTGACATATTGTGGTATGATATAGACAACACAACTAACAAAATCCTGTGACTGAGACTTGCATGTGTGGTAAAGGAAGGTCAACGTCGAAGAGATAAGATCACAGCCCCTTGTAACATCTTCAACTTCACTACCTTCATTGGTTAGCCTCACAGAGCCAAAGAAAAGAAAAAGAAAATGGCTTCTATTTCATTACCTATCATCGACAAGTCCGAGTGGATTAAGGGCCAAAACCTCCGCCAGCCTTCGGTTTGTGTCGTCCGGTGCCACCCTACATCGGCCGTCCTCACCATTTGTGCTAGTTCATATGCTGATGAGCTTGTTAAGACCTCATTATGTACTAGACGATAGTCGAGTTTGTTACAAATTGCATAATATTAAGCTTAGTCTAAAAGGAATCACAAGTCATGCATGCTCGAATACAAATTGTCTGTTAGTAAGTTTTAAGCAATCTATGGTGTGTTTGTCTTTTGGGATGTAGAAAACAACTGCATCTTCAGGCCGTGGTATTTTGGCCATGGATGAATCAAATGCTACATGTGGGAAGCGATTTGCCTCAATTGGTGAATAAAATAATAGGGTTTGGTTCCCCTACCTGGTTCTAACAACGAATCGTGGTACAAGGGCTCGACGGTCTTTCATCTTGCACAGCTGCCTACTACCAGCAGGGTGCTCGCTTCGCCAAATGGTAATCTTGTGTCCAATAAACTTCTCAATCATATGATGTAGAGTTGAAGTAAGGGATTCTCATTTGACAATATTAGTTTTTGTTGATCGGATAGGCGTATCATTGTGAGTATTCAGAATGGTCCATCTGCCTTGGCAGTTCAGGAAGCAGCTTGGGGTCTTGCTCGCTATGCCGCCATTTCCCAAGTGAACAAACTCAGGCTGATATGCTACCATTTGTATATGCTACTTGTTACTGAAATTGTTTTTTGTTCCCATTGTGTTCCAGGACAGTGGACTGGTCCCGATTGTGGAGCCGGAAATCTTGCTAGATGGTGACCAATCGATAGGACTTTCGAAGTAGCACAGAGGGTTTTGGCTGAGGTTTTCTTCTACCTTACTGAGAACAATGTCATGTTTGAGGGTATCCTCCTCAAGCCCAGCATGGTCACCCCTGGTGCTGGATGCAAAGACAAGGCCACCCCACAGCAAGTAGCTGATTACACACTCAAGCTCCTCCACAGGAGAATCCCCCCAGTTGTTCATGGTACATTTTTTTATACAAAAACATTGTAACAAAGTAGCAAAAACCGACACTAACCGATTCGACAGACCATTTTGTTGAGCAGTTCTTATCTGGTGGACAATTTGAGGTTGAAGCTACCCTAAACTTGAACGCAATGAACCAATCTCCAAACGCATGGCACGTCTCGTTCTCGTATGCCAGGGCTCTCCAGAACACCTCTTTGAAGAGATGGGGGAGGCAGACCTGAGAACGTTTAGGCAGCTCAGGATGAACTCCTCCGTGCCAAGGCCAACTCGCTTGCTCAGCTCGGCAAATACACCGGCGAGGGAGAATCAGAAGAAGCCAATAAAGGAATGTTCGTTAAGGACTACGTCTACTAAACTGCTGCAAATAAAGCTTCAGCTGAGATAATGGTGATATCATGATATGGCCTCTCTTCCCCTTTTTTTCTTTTCAGTGTTTAATGTCTTATAGGCCCCGGAGATTAGTTTTTGTTCTGGATAGTAATGTACTGTTAGTCCCTTAATAAACTTCTAGCCGATAAGTTTTACTTGTAAATGCATCATCCAAAATTACTAAAATATGTTTGAACCTGCATTTTCGTGAATCTCAATCCTGCTTGATGTTGTTTAAAACCGTGCTCGGAAATGTTGGCTTGGAAAAACAAACGGGGGCAAAAATATTAGATCCGTTTAGATGACAAATCGAGATCCATATGAGAGAATCCAATTTTCTTCTAAGATCGATTTTCCGCGAAATTGTTTAACTTTAGGAGGACGTTGTGCATACAAATTTAAATAGGCTTACACCTCCCTAAATGATCCATCTAATCCAACTTGATCTATGTACAAATCTACTTGCACCAGTTACCATGTAATACACCACCTTAGAAAAATTTAAAAGAAATAATAAGATAAATTCAATTGGTAATAAACTACAGTCACCATCCTTTTAGCTGCTATTGAGTGTGGAAAAAAAAAATAGAATATGCCGTTCAGAAAGGTTAGAACCGCTAAAGTATACATATCTGTTTAGTTCCTTATATTACAGTCTCCCACTGCTTGTTCTGCTTTCAGACCCAAAACCCGAACCAAAAAAGAGATTTTCCAGAGACACAAGTAGTGGAATATTCCCCTCCATTATTCTTCTAGTTTTCACTTAAATTTGATGACAGCTTATCTTTCTAATCACCAGCAATAATGTGAAAAGATATTTAAATGAATGGACATACACAAAAGATGTATTGTTGGCCATTGGAACAAATTCATAAATGTCACAACTTAACAACTCCTGTTAGGCAAGAATGTTGATTTTGGTACATGGATAAAAGTTACCATCAAAAGTTCTCATTTGTGTAAGAAATTGAATAGAAAGAGACTAATCCATGGGGAAGGAAGACAAATCTAAACAAATGCATGCCCTTCACTTGGTAAAGACATAGATGACAGAGAACTGATCCATCTATATCTGCAGTCACAAATTACGGACAGAATTATTAGATAAGAAACCTGATCTTGAAGAATCAATCATCAATGGAGTATAAAGAAGGGTTTGTATGTGTGTGAGTATATTTCCAGAGGAACGTAGGAGAAACCATAGAACTAGCAACAAATTACTACTGTGTTAAATGACTATTTTCTGGTTGCTTGTTTATCTTTATTGAAATAAAACTGAAGTCTAGGTTATAGAAGCTAATAAACACGGTAGTGTAACTTATTATGAAAATCTCAGACAAGATAGAACAAAACTTGAGATGTAAACATGAACCAACATCCCAACCAGTAAGTTTGTAAGAAAAAAATGCTGTAGCCATGGGAAGTTCATCGGAGACAAGGAACTATCAGCTTCAGCAACAATGCATTATTGCTTCTTCAGAAAAATTTTGTCCATTTGTGAGTGATAAATAATTGCAGAATAATTTTTATAGGACTCTATGACCGGCTAGATTAGTTTTGTTTCACTCTTGACAAAAAATAAGAGGGACAACAAACAAAACAGGCAGGCAAGTGGAAGCCGACATGTTACCGTCTTTTGGGATAAAAAAATATTTAGCTTTTTTATCAAATGCATTAAGATTGAAGTGTTACTTGCACCTGATACCATTTCCCTCGACCAAAACGTTAGGAGAACTAACCCCAAAGACATTAAAAAGCCTACACAATAAATTGTCAATCTTCTGTTTCTCATACGAGTATGTGAGTCAGGAACTGCTCAGCAGGTAAAGATCTCCTTTGAAAAAACAGACAAGTAATGTTACGTGAAAGGAAGCGAACCTGCTTCGGCAATTATTAATTTGATATCACAGGCATTCAAATATGCAACAAGCATCTATAATAAAGTATATCCAAAAATGCATATAAACGAAGAAAATTCTTGGAACCGAATGGTCACAATGCTTATACACAAACAGTATAAGTAGGGGATATTAGTTATACCTCGGTCATTTTTCAGGCTCCCTTTTGAAGGATCCACCAGGGACCACACTTGTAGAGTCATGATTATTGCCACTTGAAACATCCATGGCTTGCTCCTTGAATACAAAGCAGTCACTTCATTAATCTCAAAGAACATATTACCCCACGGTCTAGCTTTCAAGTTTAAGAACAAAGCTAAGCAACACTACCTGATTGGTCGAAGCTTGCCCATGCATCCGTTGGGGCTTGGCATTCAGATCAAACAATTCATTCCCTACCTTTCCATCACCCCCAGCATTACCATAAAGCAATGGAACAGGAGAGAATTGATGATTTTGCGGGTTCTCTCTTGCTACAACCTTAGGCTGTTGATTCTGATTCTTCCTTACATCATTCGGATTGAGTGATGGCAACCCCAGTTCCTCCAAACTACCAGGCTTATCCCCTGGAAACTACAATAATAAGAAGGAATTTTAGCATACATTCTACATGTGTATATATATACATATATATATATATAAATAAAACATAAAATCATATACTACTAAAGAATGACAAACCTCAACTCTCTGCCTCAACAAGAGATATCTCCCATGGGTCCTTTTACCTCCAACATGTACAATCATATCACATTGCAAGCAAAGGGAACTACCATCTACTTCACAGTAAAAGAAAGCTGCATACAAAAATCAAATTTTAAAAAAGATAAAGAAAAAAAAAGAGTTTTTACAACAATTATAGTATTAAAAAATGATATATAATACCAGGTGCATTTTCACATATATCACAGCGTGGGACAATGCTGGGGTCGGCTAACCCAACTCTGACATGTCTGCTTGCAAGTTTGTTACACATGTGAACCTAAAAACTCCAAAAAAAGTATCTTATTCATTTAATTTAACAAAATAAAATGAATTAAAAAACAATTACAAAAACCTAAAGCTAATTTTGGATTATAAGGAGTTTGGGTTCAAGTTCCATGTCAATCAAAATGTAAGCACATAAAGAGTACGTACACGTAGTCGTGTGTAAACACGCATAAGATCAATTAGTGGTATTAAACGGGAATGAAAAATGACATAAGAGACCTTTTCGTCGCAGGAACGGCAGAGAGCAGCCTCGTCGGCGGCGCAGAAAATGATCGCGGCTGCGCTCTCGCAGACGTCGCAAATCGTTCGCATTCTAGTTTTTCTGTTTGCTTTCCGATTAGTGCTCCTTTCTTGACGACGGCGGCATCCTTCAACGGAGAGTAATCCAACTGATCAGAGTTTCCGAAGAGAAATCCAACGATTCAGCATAGGATTATTCCTTCAAAATCCAACAAAAGAGAAAGCAAGGAAGTGGGATAAACGAGAAAGGATCAAATTGAAAGGGAAAACAAATTCTGTTACGAAAAATAGCTGAAGCAGAGATGAATTCAACTCTTTTTGTTTCAAAGTCTCCGAGAAACTGCGAGAAAGAAAATCGTTTACTCGCTGCAAGTATGTAAATCCCACGTACACGCTCTCTAGCTTTATTTTGGTCAAATCCTACCAAAGGTCTCTCTACTATGCACTTTTGACAGATTTAGTCCTTGTATTATAATTTAATATTTTTAGTTTAATGTATGTTTTATTTCCTAAGAGTAATTTTTTTGCTAATTTTATTTAAGTATTAAATTCAGATTCAGATGTTACTATCTGAATTATATAAATTATATATTGAGTGTTTTTTGGTAAATCATATTGATATTTGATTTATTGATAGACTAATTTAGTTCAGATATTATAGAGACGAGTACGACCTCCACCCGACCTAATTTCCATTAAAAATGTTAACCAGCTGGTTATTAGTTATATATTGAGTATCAAAATATGCTAAATATATATTTAATACTATAATTTTAAAAAAAAACTAATGATTATATGAGGTAATTGAATTATATATCATATATTTAATATGTTATTTTTTTTATCTAGATGTTTGAAAACTTATTAAATTATTAAAGAAAACATAACAATATATATTAAATTATTATAAATTTACAAAAAAAAATCATTCTAAATTATTTGATGAAATTAACGGATAAAAAGTTGGTCTAGAATATAAAAATATAACACTTCAAAAATTTAAGGATCGGAAATAGTTCAAATTATAATGAACAGTCTAAATTAATAACAATGCACTGTAGAGGGACTTTTTAAAGAATTTGATATTTATTTCTCGTTTTCCAACTCGAAGAATATCGGGATATAGATTATGGGGTCGATTCATGCCAAAAGAAAGCTCTGGGGGGACACGTTTCGAAATATTAAAGCGAGTACAAAGTGGTTTGATTTATGAGAAGCAGTAAATCTGGGAGTGCTGAGCTGTTGTCGCCATTATCTATTGATCTGGTCCATATTTGGAGGTGGTGGATTTTAAAATAATTAACAATCATCGACGCGCTTCATAGGGGTGTAGAAGACACGAAGATCGTCAAGAGCATGAGCCAGAGTACTCCTGGTAGGTGGGTTCCACTCGCCTGGTAGAGCAATCAGCTTTATTACGAAGTTAGCGATTTTCTAGGTTTAGCGGGCAGACAGCCATTAGATTACCCATCAGATGATCCGTTTCTGTTTTGGATTATCTTGTTGGAATTTTTCTTTCTTTTTCTCTTTACCAAAAATTATAGGTTTTTTCTTTTTTCTTTTAGAAAACTATTTAGTTTTGATGTATTATTATTGTATTATTTATATATTATTTGTAAATCAGATAATAATCTATAAATTTTAAAATTAAGTCTATTTAATTTTTTAATTATGTGTAATTGTATAATTTGCTGGCTCTTTTATAAAATTTTACATTATAAAGCATTAAATGATATATATGTTTGGTTGGAAATTATTAAAAGGTATGTTAAAACAAATCGTTTCCAATGTTTCAAATAAATTTGTTTTGCAATATTGGAAAATTTGAAAATAGTGATACTTTATTTCTCATATTTCTATTATGAAATAAATAGATTATATATTGCATACTGTGATGGCAATTGAATAAAGTGAGTTAGAATTTTGTTTGTCCCGACCTTAATCTGAAGAGAAAAAAATTCCATTGCCGTCACTATATAATTTAGTTGTGGTTTATAATTTAAAATCTGAAGTAAAATAGGGTATTGAGTTTTTGCAAACAAATGAGTTTTTAAATTTATAAATAGATTTGGGTTTTAAGGTTTGTACAAATTGATTTATAACACATAAAAAGTAATTGTATATTTCAAAAATAAAAGAATATTATATTAATTTAATCATAAATTATGGTGTTCGTTGTTTAATTTTAATTGAATTAACAAATCGAATCAAAATTTAGTTCGGTTAATCGATCGGCAGTTAGATATTAAATCAATTAATGATTATTAAATTAGTAAAGTTTCAGTTAATTTGATTCGAAATTGAATAATTAATCGAATTAACAAAAATATTAAATATTATATATGATAATTAAGCTCAAACACATTAATGATCAAGATCCAACTTTTTTAACTACAGCATAACTCAATAAAATTTCAATCCAAATTAAAAAAAATACATCTACTAAACTCAAATTAATTTAAAAAAATCACAACAAAATTTAATTAATTCAAAAATAGACCGAATTAACTAAATTCAGTTTGATTCGATTAATAATTATAAAAATGAAATTGAATTAACTATCAAATAAAAAATAATTAATTTACCAACGATGTTGGTTTAAGTGGTTAGCAGCTTGATAGCATTTAAGTATATTTTAAGTTCGAGGATTTGTGTATATAAGAAATTTATGTTTCAATTTGTGGTTTAAGTTAGGTGTGTGACCCGTATCCAGACAAAATCTTAAAAAAATCAGAACGAGAACAAAAATAATAATTAATTTAATTTGATCTATAGCTAAATCGTTCGTCTAAACATTTCTAACAAATTTAATATGACCACCAGATTCGAAAGGCAGGGGGGAGAGAGAGAGACAACAATTAAAGCTCCGCTTGAACAATTTTGGTCCACTAATCTTATATACCACCCTACTCTACATGTTTTAATTCAGGCCATTGCTTTTCTCTTGGATAAAACTACTTTACATACCCCTTGTACGGCCGTACCCTTTGCATAATTTTTTATTTGCTCTAATTTTTATTTTATCTCTTCATTTTAAAATTTTAAAACTTAAAAAACTATGGAATAACTAATCAAATTCAAAAAATTTACTCATTTGAACATATATAAATTTATGAATTTTGAAATATTTTAGTATCAACTTATCCGCCAACTCTTAATCAATTAGTATTTGAGATTTTATTGTTCGAGGTTCACCATATGTTAATATAATATATAAATTATCTGTTCAAGTTTTATTTTATTTTAATTTATATTATGTGTATTTTCTAAATTTATTTTAATTCTAAATATGGATAGTTTATAAGGTAAATTCTAATAATGATTACACGAACATATATTAAGTATTATACTTCTTACAATATTAAATTAATTTATAACTATACTTGTAAACTTATGAAGAGGATAATCCACTTAGAGGTCCCAATAGTGGAAGGTTGTATTTTTTTCTTAAATATTATGGGTTTAAATAATATTGTTTATAAAGTATATTGTTTTATAAATTTTAAATTTAATTATACTCTTATTTAGAGGAATGTGAAGAAGATGGCTTAAGGAAATAGATGATAATGTTCGTAGTAGATCTAGAACACATGATTTAAAAAATAAAATATAATAAAGACGAACAATTTAGTGTAAAGTAATACTTGAATTTTATTTAACTAAAAAGTAGTATAAATATCATTGTATAATTCTAAAAAAACAACTTTTATATTTAATCCAATATTTTATTATTTGATGCATTATTGTTCTAATCATCGATGAAGGTAAGGTTTTAGGTTAGCAATGAATTTAAGAATTTATTGTAGAAAATTTATAAATTAAAAATTTTAAAGAATACTAAATTAGATCATAAATAAAAAATATAAAAATGTATAAATTATAAAATAAAATAAAATTTCTAAATGGTGTAACGATGCTTCCGACGGCCGCTCGTCCATCGTGACTCTAATGTAACTGAATTTGTATTTGTAAAAGGATCTCTTTGTTTGTCGAGTATTGGGCCTTTTGGGGAAAGCAGACCATTAAAAGTTCATGCATTTGCATCAGCAATTATGTAGAACAATTGGGCTACATCATTTTCTTACGTTCTGCTATACTATTGGCATGCAGTCATACTATATACATATACGTATATAATATACACATATTTATAATTATACTTAAAAATATTCTGTGAAATAAATAAGCTTGTGGTTTATTAAGAAATAAATTATTTTAATTTAAAATAGTATTAGATTTTTGATTTCAATCTCAAACAACCATTTTCTATTATATATATAAGAAAAAGATTGTATTTATATATCTTTGTTAGTATATGGTCAATTTTGAAATTTTCAATTCTTATATATAATGGCCGGTGGGTGATATGTTAACACGAGATGACTCAAAATTGTTATTATTAAAGATACTCTCCAAATAATTAAATTTTACTTGGTAGAATAAAAAGAAAAATAAAAGAGGAAGAATTAGAAGGGTAAATAATTAGAAAGATAACAAATAATTTTTTTACTAATGTAGTTAATAAGAAAGAATAGACAAAAATAAAATAAAAGATGTCCGGTTTAAAACTTAAAACATGAAAGTATGAATAGTCAATCATACTAAATCAATTAAAATTTGTTTAGCAAGTAATTTATTATATGATTTTTGTTAATGATTATGATATCTCCTTTTGAAAATAATATCTAACTACTATTTCTAATTAATACCCCTTTTTTTCCAAAGAAAAATACATCATTTCATCATTAATATTAAGCTTTTATGATATAATTATATTGTAATATATTTTCCCTTTGATCCTCATAATTGATTTTTTTAGTTGGCCCAATCAAATATATAATTATTTTTTTAAATCATTGTAATTTTTTAAAAAAAATAAATCATTGTAAATGATGTTGTCACACTTTATGTAAATTCAAAATTTGATATTTATTTTTAAATATAATATTTTTATTTAATAAAAATATCATTTTAAATCATGTAAAATAGAAAGAAAAAAACATCTTTGCTTTATATTTTCAAGGTTGAGAGAAAAAAGTATGGGATGATGGCTGAAGAAACATTTGCATTAAATCTATTCAAATTCAGTTACATATTTAATTTAAAACAAAAAATAAGTAAATCCATATTATTTTTATTTAATTTAAAATTGACTAAAATCTAAATATTATTTAATAAATACAAAATTATAAATTCAAATTAATTCGATTCGAACTAAATTTATCACACTTAATTATCGCATAGCAATTGCTTTCAAAGCTTA